CGGGCAGCCGCCGCCTCAGCGTACTGCTGCAGCTCGCTGATGATCTCGGGGCTGTCGGGGGAGAGGGGCCGGGTGAGCTCCTCTGCGCTGGGGAGCTGCGGTGATGAGGCACTGTGTCTGCCGTTGCTCGCGGACTCCAGCGAAGAGCTCTGGGAGCCTGGAAACGAGGAGATGGAGCTGGTGAGAATGATGGCCTTGGAGAAAAACTTGGGGGTCAAGAGGCAACGGTGGAAAAGGAGAGGTATTGCAGGGCCTGCTCTGAACACAGGCATGATGGAACGTGGCCAGGGAACACCGCCCCAGACGCTTGGGTAGGCAGCACAGTGGCAAAGCCTGCAGAGTGCTCACAAGCCCCTACCTGAGGCAGCTGTCCGACGGTCTTCGTTGCCCTTTGGCTTCCCAGTGGTCCGGATAGCAAAAATCCGCCCGTCGCTGGTCCGGATATATGTCCCTGGAACAGAGGCAGAGCAACTTCAGCCACGGTTTCCAGTCTCGGCTTAGGACCCTGGATCTGTGAGGCTGCCCAGGCAGCAATGGGACAGCAGGGCTGCATAAGGCCAGCCCACAGCTCATGCAGGGAGATCAGCAGGGGCTTCTGCCCCTTCCACACTTCCAGCCTTCCAGCTTTCCTGGGTTGGAGCTCACCCCCCAAGCCCACAGTGCGCTGCCAGTGGGAAATGAGGCACTTCATGCTCAGGACTAAGTTTGCTCTGGGAGCACCAGGAAGCGTTTGGCTGCCCCAGTAGGTGCAGTGGGTGTTGTGAGAATGAGACACTCCACAAAATTTAGCAGTTTCTCTCAGAGGCAGAAGCAGCCACAGCTGCAATAGCTCTGAAGCATCAGCTACAACAGCACAGCCAATGCGTGGGCTGCAGCAGAGCCACTGCAAAGGCCAGATCTCCACCCTTCTTGTTTCTTCTCCTCTCAAGGAGCTGGTTCATGCTTTTATATCCTTTTCTTTGCAAATTAGCATTGGCTAGGACCTTACCCACAACTACGAAGATGGACAGCCTTACCTTTTGTCCCTCGGATGATGTGGATGCTCTCACCAGCACTGATTCTTGCCTGTACATCAGTGGATGTGTTTGTACCCGGAATCACAATATCTGGCAGTGGGGGAAGAAACAGAACAGTGTTGGTGAAATTACATGGCAGTCACAGTCAGGAGCAGGGAGGAGCACCATCTAACCCCTTTGCTTGCAGTGCAGTTGTCTCTCCTATGTGCTGTGCTAGAAGCAAGCCCTGGCTTTGCTTCTGAGCAGCACAGGAAGGCAGTTGAGGCTCCGGCAAAGCAAAAGCCACACTGCTCTGGCACAGCATCTCCCCTAGCCCAGCAAGGACAACTGGCAACAGTATTTCAGGCTCTCTCATGAGGGGTTCACTCCCAACAATCTGCCAGGCCCATGCCCCTTGCACATCTGCCAGGGAAAGTCCTCCAGGTACAAGGGAACCACTCAAATGCAGAGAGACAATGTCCATGGCTCTGATGCCCATTTGCCCACAGCCCACAACTCGCCCAGCTCCTCAATTCACCAAGGGCATCACAACTCAACTCACTGTGAGCATCGACAACTCACCTGTGGTGGTGACAATCTTCTGCACAAAGACACCAGCTCGCTGTAGATAGTTGATGGGGAAGTTAACAGCGGGGTTGGAACTTGAGGTTGATCCTGTACCACCCATGGGGACGTGCCGGGGCATCATAGGAATTGGGGTGGATTGAACTGGGCGGACACTTGCCACCGGCTTGTCCTCACCCTTGAGGGCTGGTCGCCTAGTGAGAGAGGAGGGAGGAAAGTGCAGTGCCCCCACTGACAGGGCTAAGCATCCTCTGCCCCCTCATTTCACACCTCCAGCATGGGAAGAAGGGGAAGAGGCAGGTACTCACCAGTTCCTCTGGCTAAAGGCAGGGATGCTTGTCAGGCTCTGGTCACTGGCTGGGTAATACTGTGCGTAGGACGGCCGGGTGTAGGGGACGGATGCTCGCTTTTCCTCCTCATAACTCTTCTTGGCTGCTTTCTTTTCTGCTTTGGTCAGCTTGTGCTCCTTCCGGTCGATCAGCAGTGACTCATGCTGAAAAGGCTCCTGCAAACCCCACAACACCGAGGTTTTGACACCAATGCGCCACAAGAGGGAACCAACATGCCCCGAATGGGAGCCACGAGGTCCCTGCATCAGAGCTGTGTCCATCCCATGCTGGAGCACGGAAGAGGGGAGTTGGGAGGCAGAGATGGTCACAGCAAAGCATGTGTCGGGTAACGCTGTGGATGTGACCAAGGCTCAGCCTGAAGAGTGACAGAGTCAGCTAAGCCATCACTAGGCCTGCCCAGCCAAGGCCATCCCACGCAGAGCCCCTGGGCCAGAGGCCAGGCTAAGAGCACAAGCACAGAGTCTGTGCACAGAGCCACCAGAGCACCCAGCCACAGGCCCAGTCTGCAGCAACCCGACCAGTGAAACTCTTCACAACACAGGCAAACACTGGCTGTCTGAGCTTTGTTTTAAAGACACCTCAGGAAAAGAGGTGGGCAAGCTCCAATCCTGGGATATGCCACTTCCACCTTCCTGCCCAGCACCAAGCTGAAGAAAGAGGTGCCCTACAACTTGCCCCCAGACTTACCCAGGATAGGGGTACCTTTAAATGTGTAGAAGATACAGGCAGCACTCTAAGAGTCCTCTCTAGAAGATTTTTTTACCTATTCCCACCAGCACACAGATGCATCTTTTCTGCCACCATGTTCCCATCACACAGCCAGACACCTCCAGAGCTCCTCCTGCCTGTCCTGTGTTGTGCCAGCAAGGAAGCAGGGTGGTCTTACCTTGGTGATGAGGTGAGGATACTTGAGACAGGCTAATTGTAGAACAGACTCCTTCATCTTGCTAGGATTGAGGGACAGCTGAGTGGGGTCGGATTCCTCCTCCACAAAATGCAGCAGGTTCTCCACCTCTCGCCGGGTGAAGTTCAGCACTGGGTTCAGATCATCCACCACCCGATCTGGAGAAGAGAGGGAACAGAGTGAGCAGAGAAAGGGAAAGATGGGTACTGCTGCCTGCTGCCCTTCCTACACTCCTGTCCTAACAGAGCTCCCTCTTTGAAGTCTGCACGATCCTCAGAAGCCTTCTGTAAATGTCAGGGCAGGGCGAAAAGTTATCATCTGTGTTCAGAGATGAGCCTGTTTGACCAAGTGAGGCTGAAAAATGCTTTGTGCTCCAGACAGCACAGCAATGCAGTGCAGGTCACTGAGCTCCTGGCATGAAGGAACATGATGCTAGTTAAGGGTGGTGTCCCATCTCACACTGCAAGGCCAAAAGCATACAAGCCAGGGGACAGAAATGCAGTCCCATCAGTGTGTGCCCTCCCACAAATCCCACCACAGAGGCTCAACTTAATAACCAGGTTCTCAAATTTAAAGAAATCTGTTGAGTCAAAAGCTCAGAAAAGAAGCCACAGTCCCTCCCTCACAGGAGCCTGAAAGCTTTCCCTGGATGTTCCCTCATGCAGAGAGAGCAAATGGGAGCACATGGAGAAAACCTCTATAGCCTGGACTCTTGTGGGAGCCAGGCCAGCTGCCAGTGGACTCCACCTCGAGTGCAAGGCAGCATACTGAGCCCATCATGCTGGGCTGCTGCCTCTAGAGTTGGGTTTTGAGACAAAGAAGGACATAGGCAGAACTCTTTTTGGACCACCACAACCCTCAGCTGCATGTTCTACAACAAAACATTTTGTTTGCTACAAGGACAGGTCAGAACTGGAATGAATTTAATTATTCTTGGCTCCTAAGCACACACTATCAATCAAAGGTATTAATACATATTTTAATTTTGCTAGTTTTTCTTGCTGCAGGAGAAATGAAGGCATTTAATAAGTAATGCCCAGTTTAAGACAAGAAGAGTTCAGGCACAGGGGAAAACAGGTGGACCACTTCCCAAGTCTCCAGTCTGTTGTAGCAGTCAGGAGAACAGTACAACCCTGCAAGATGCTGTCTCTACAACCCCTACTGCTCTGCCATGAATTTCTTACAGGATCTCATGTCACTGCCAACTCATAAACCCTAAACATAGCTCTAGGAGAGTGTCTCTGTCAGTTGTCTGGCTCTCTGGTTTTCAACCTTAAAAAAAGACATTATAAAACCCACAGGAAGAGGACTTAGAGGAGCTAAAAGGAGGGAAAGTCAAGAGTAGAGTGACACATCCATCCACACTTACCTGACATGCCCTGCTTGGAGATCTGACGGTCATAGATCTTCTTCTCGAGGGTGTAATCGGAAACCAGTCTGTAAATGTGGCATGGCTTCTTCTGCCCGTAGCGGTACACTCGGCACACGGCCTGGGCATCGTGGCACGGGTTCCAAGAAGCATCAAACACCACCACCCTGTTTGCTCCAATGAGGTTGACACCCAAACACCCAGCACTGGAAATTAAAGGCAAATTACAAATTGCTGCCTCGCTTTTCAAAGCTTCTAGGCAGGTACAACCACCACAGCCAGGAGTCCATGAAGTGTCTATGCAAAGCTCCCCGCAGTCATGTGGGCAACTTCAAACCCATGTTTGGTTTCCAAGACTGTTGTTAAGTTGTAGCAGAGGACTGAGGCTAAAAACCCCTAAGGAATTCAGAAGTAGATGGCACTCTCATCCCACGGAATCTTGAGAGCATGTTACAAAGGAAATTAAGAACTGAAAACCCAAAAGCATACAGAGCATCAGTGAGTCCTCCACTATGCCTTTCTGCTCCAGCCAACTTACCGTGTGGACAAAAGAAAGAGCCAAACAGAGGTGTTGCTGGGGTCATTGAACTGATTAATCAGTCGTTCCCTTTCCGAGGCAGAGGTGCTGCCATCCAATCCTGAGAAGGAAATTAAGGACACATTTAAAAGCTCTGTACGGTTGGGGGAATCCCATCAGAACAAAACCACTTCCCAAACAGTGAGCTTTGGCACTGGTTCCCAACCAATACTTGGGTATTCTCAAGTCATGCACTCCAGGACCTCAACTGGACCATTCTGCACCTCTAATTTGCACAGCCAGGCAGGTGCAATGCAGCCAGCCATGTTGGGATTTGTTCAGCTGAAAGATCAAGGAAAACTTTACTCAAGCTTGGCAGAGCCAAGACTGGAGTGCTCTGACACACCTAGCCATTAAGGCTCCGTAAGACAGACAGCAAACAACGGCAGCAGGCACAAAGGCTTCACATATGCTGGAAGCTTGAGGAACCAAGAGAAAGCAAAATTGTGAAAGCCTTTGGCAAAATCCCATAGACTGGATCTGAGCATGAGGAGAACTGGTCTAAAGGAGTACAGGGGGTGTCAAGTCTCTGTTCATAGGCAGCAGCCTCCTTCTGGCAGCTCTGCAAAAATTAGGAACATCACATCCACCAGTCCTGGCCTCTAAAGTAGCCAAAGCAACCACCCGTGCCAGAACAAGATTCAAAGCTGGGGAAGGGAGGAGGAGGAATTCACAGCCCCGAGCTACTGAAAGCATTTCATATTCTGGTTTGGATTCTGGTTTGGGAAGTAAGATCTAGAAAACAGCCAAACAAGAAGCAAAAAGTATCTTTAACAACTTTAAAAAAAGCCAGTATATAAGTGAGATGTTAAAGATGTCTAACATCTTCTGAGTAAGATGTCAAAAAGAGTATTTGGAAACGATCAGTTAGTTGCTATCAAACTGACACTGTCTTCCCAAGCAACTAAAGCAGGAACAATCTGAGACACGACTTCATCAGAAGAATGCTTCAGAAGAGCATTTTCACACCCAGGGAGAGCTACAAGAAGATGGTGGGTGACATTCAGGAATCAGTCCATCACAGAGGACCAAACAATATCACACCAAAAGAGAGGAGGTTTGGCTGCACTCACTGTAATAGTTGATGTTTCGGACCCAGTTGTGAACTCCCCCATCTGAACCTGGAGGATTCGGCATTGGTCTCTCTGCCAAAAACTCTTCAATGACAGATAACGTGGACAAGCTCTGGCTGCAAAACCAAGATTTCTGTTCAGGAGAAAGCCCCCACAGCAGCAAAAGCAGAGTACCAGAACTCTTCCCAAACCATGACAGCATTGACGATTGTCAAACCCTGTTTGTGGCAACACACCTCTCACTAGTAAACTTGATAATGGTAGAAGGACAAAATCCATGGAGGAAAAACAGGATCTAATACAACAAAGGAGAAAAGGGGAACTGCCATACCACTCACTCTCTTGTAACAGCCTCCTAGTATCAGGAGGGGTTCAACTGCTCCAGCATTTAGTGACTGCGGGATCAGCTGCTGATTCTTTCCTTACCTGAAGACCAAAATCTTGTCTCCAAGCTTCACACTTTCCTCAATTAGGTGGAACAGTAACACCATCTTGGGTGAGTTCTCCAAGACTCCCGTCTGGTAATTACACAAGATGTCTTTGGCCTACCGAGAAACAGGAGACTATTACAGGTGGAGTTGTTCATTCCCTGTTTAGTTCAACATTCCTATCTCAAGGTGAGAGAAATAAGTTGTTGCAGAGAGGTTATACACATCCATCCAGGTCAAGGTGGCAATGTTACTTCCAACTATTTCTGCTACCTCCCATTCCAGAAGCTCCAAATGACAAAATTATTGGAGTATGGATGAATGAGCATCCTCATAACCTCTCATGACTCTCTGTCTCAAGATGTCTCCTCCAGCCCACCAGATTTACCACCACATTATCTAGATTTAACTTCACCCTAACATCTTTTCTTTGCTCTACTTGAGAAAATTGCCCTCACAAAGAGAAGCACAGTCCTTCAGAGTAAGCATCTGGCCTATGTTTACCACAGTTCTCCAAATGAAGTCTTCCAGCAGTCGTACTCACCCACTCATAAGTAACAACCTGATTTGCTCTTTCCTGAAAAGGGTTGAAGCCAACACTCTGGAGGAACTTGCTATTGGTAGCTTCTCCCACTGGTGATGCCAATGCATTACTCTCTGTTTTGACTTTAATTCCCTGAGGCTGGCAACGGGAATTAGCACTTGCTGTACCAAGGTCATCCACATCCAAATCCTGCTCATTTGCCAGATTCTCCTTTTGCAGAGCTTCATACAACACATCTGGATGGTTCCAGATCTGAAGGGGTAAGAAAAGAAAGTAGTTAAGGCTGTGCTGGCCTGCTGCTTGACAATGACTGTGGGCTGAAAGCCTCTGCAACTATCCAAAGAACTAATACTTTGATCATCTCCTCACTGTCCCTACATGGGATTGTAAGGCATTGCAGAAAAACAGTCTGACTGCATCAAGGTAGTAAAAACACAAAACATGACTCTGCCATGATGCAAGGTATAAACCATCTCAACCGAGGCTCTCCTGACTTGAAAACTGCTGAATTCTTTCCCTGGGAACAAAGCAGAAGGCCACTGTGCACCCCATACAGCAGAAATGCAGAGGAAGCTGCCTCTTTGCACTGCAGCAGGGAATGATTACGGTATCCGCCTGGTATTGGTTTGGGTGATGGCTGCAGGTTTCCCCCACAAAGCTGAAGAAGACATTTAACACCCCTGCATCCCAGTTCTGGAAGTGGGGACAACAATTCTGCTGGTCCATTGCGAGGGCGCTCTGGAGAGAGACGTGCCTGGCCAACCAGAGTTGTACCTCGCGTTTTGACGCATAATCCTGCCTTTCCTTTACACATTAGAATACTTCTTTCCATCTCCTGCCAAAACCTACCTTACAACAGACACAGAAAGCTTTGAGCGGGTTCAGTCCCAGCCAGCCACTGTTGCCTGCATCTCGGAACCGGTTCATGAACTCCGTATAAAGGGCCCGCTGGACCTTTGAGAGCCGTACCAAAATGACGTGTTCTTCCTTGGATGGGAGCTGAACCTTCAGCACATTGTGGCCTCGCCTGTGGAGGAAATAAAGAAAGAGAGATAAATAGAGTGAAGGGAATTTCCCAATCTGATCTCTCTGTGGTTGCCTGTAGGTAAGATTTTGACTTCTTATCCACCTGGCTGCAGGGAGAAAGACCTCTAGTTGTCTTGCTTCTCTAATGCACAACACTTCCAAGATACCTTCCCTGCAGCCAAGTACCAACTGTAAGCACAGTTACAGAGATCTCAGATGTTACAATCTGCTAGCACAGGTCACAGTGTTAAGAGGATGACTAAAGTCCTGTTTTCCATGGCAGCTGAAAACCAGAAAGAAGATGTAAAGTCTCTTTTTAGCTCTGTCTGTGACTAAGACACTCCACCCATATCACTGGTCCAACTTCTTAGAAACTTCACCTAAGGAAGAAAGCTGATCTGTTTCCTGACTGGTGGAGACACTGTCACTTTTCATAAGCGAGTGTTCTTGAAACACTTTCAGACCCTTGGTAGAGGATGCCAGAAAGTGCACATCCAAATTAACTACCAAGAGAGCAAAATAAACCTGAAGTCACTCAGGTGCAGTTAGAGCTGTTGTTCTCCATTATCAGAATCTGTAGTGCCACAGCAAACCAATTTTACTTCTACCCCCAAGGCAAAACAGAGCCATAAAGACCACTTTGCAGTTGACAGATTCTGAAAGAAATATGCAGCCGCTAACCTAAGAATCACCTCTATGGTTTTCTCTGTATGTTTAAGATCCTCCCACAAAGACAGATAGGCTACCTGTTTAAAACTCAAGCCTAAGAAGCTGGATCAAGGGGTCAAGGCCAAATGTATGAGGTTCAACAAGACCAAGTGCCGGGTCCTGCACTTGGGTCACAACAACTCCCTTCAATGCTACAGGTTTGGGGAAGAGTGGCTGAAAACTGCCTGCTGGAAAAGAACCTGGGAGTGCTGGTCAACAGTCAGATAAATATGAGCCAGCATGTGTCCAGGTGGCCAAGAAGGCAAACAGCATTCTGGCTTGTATCAGAAACCATGCAGCCAGCAGGACTGGGGCAGGGATCATCCCCCTGTACTCGGCACTGCTGAGGCCACACCTCAAAGACTGGGTTCAGTTTTGGGCCCCTCACTTGAAAAAGGACATTGAGGGGCTGGAGCATGGCCAGACAAGGGCAACGAAGCTGGGGAAGGGTCCAGAGCACAAGTCTTGTAAGGAGCAGCTGAGGGAACTGGCGTTGTTGAGTCTGGAGAAAAGGAGGCTCAGGGGAGACCTTCTGGCTCTCGACAGCTCCCTGAAAGAAGGTCGTAGCCAGGTGGGGGTTGAGCTCTTCTCCCAAGGAGCAAGTCCTAGGACAAGAGGAAACAGTCTCAAGTTGAAGCAGGGAAGGTTTAGGTTGGTCATGAGGTACAATTTCTTCCCCAAAAGGGTTGCCAAGTCCTGGAAGAGGCTGCCCAGGGCAGTGGTGGAGTCCCCATCCCCGGAGGGATTTAAAAGCCGTGGAGATAGATGAGGGGCGAGCAACTGATGT